AGAAGCGACAAAAATCATTATAAAACAAGTACAGAGAGAAGTTTTCGAAGAAGAATTATGCAGTCTGAAAGAAAAGAAACAAGTAGCACGAGGAAGCAAGATCCTGAATTTGAATCCGTTTTTGGACTTGGAGGGAGTTCTACGCGTAGGAGGGAGACTGCAATTTGCAAATATCAGCAGTGAGATGAAAAATCCCGTTATACTACCACAATACCATCGCTTGACGGAATTAATTATAGAAAAAGCACACGAGCTCACTTTACACGGCGGGGCTCGGGTTACACTCGCATTCACGAGACAAAAATATTGGATATTGAAGGGATATACAACTATCAAAAAACATGTTCACAAATGTGTGACTTGTAGAAAACAAAAACCGACAATGTTGAAACAAATCATGGGAGACCTACCTGAAGCGAGGGTCAATCCATCACGTCCCTTCCAAAATACCGGAGTGGACTTCACTGGATATGTCCTTTTAAAAGCCAACAAGGGCCGTGGTATAAAAACCTTAAAAGGATATGTGGCTGTGTTTGTTTGTATGGTAACCAAGGCCATACATTTGGAGCTAGTCTCTGATTTATCGACCTCAGCATTCATCGCAGCACTACGTCGAATGGCCGCGAGAAGAGGGACTCCTAGTGACATTTATTGCGACAACGGACGCAACTTTGTCGGCGCAAACAGAATAATTCAGCAAGAATATCAAGAAATCATAGAAATCTTCAAACACAAGGGACTACAGCAAGAGCTAGTCGATATGGAGATTTCATTCCACTTCAACGCACCTGCATGGCCATCAGCTGGAGGCCTATGGGAAGCAGCTGTCAAGAGCTTCAAATTCCACTTGAAGAGAGTCATTGGAGAGCAAACGCTCACCTATGAAGAATACTTCACCTTGCTAACCCAGATCGAAGCGTGCCTGAACTCAAGGCCATTGTGTCCTTTAACTGATGACCCAGATGATCTAAATTACATAACTCCTTCTCACTTTCTGTCCAGCGGTCCAGTACTCACACTTATAGAAACTGAAAGAGACTTACGAACGCGCTGGCATCTCACTCAACAAATACTACAAAATATCTGGAAGCGATGGGCAGCGGAATATTTAACACAACTGACATCAAGGTCAAAATGGAAACATCCAACAGAAAATATAAAGATCAATGACGTCGCCCTTGTACAAGAAGAAAATCTTCCACCAGGTAAATGGATCATGGGCCGAGTGGCAGAGTTACATCCAGGACAAGACGGCTTTGTACGAGTGGTCACCCTAAAAACGAAAAGTGGATATATAAAAAGGCCAGTAATCAAGCTATCTAAACTTATAAGTCGCGAAGATGATGCTGAAACAAGAAGCAACAAGAAAACGATCACCGGCAACACCATCAACGAAAACAAGTCTCAATCACAAGGAACAAGAAGAAGTACTGGAAACAACAAGAGAAGCCTTTTCACATCAATGATCATGATGTTTTTGTTCTTCTTAACTTATCTCTCAAGTTCTACAGCAAACGTCAACATTACGAAATTCCAATCAAATCAAAGTCTTTACTTTGATAAGGTAGCAAACATGTTACTAATCAAGGATGAATGGAAGCTTTTAATTTATTATGAAATGGAACCTTATTGGAATGGAAAAAGAGCACTCGAAACATATATAGAAACATTGGACAGAACGTGTAAAATGATACGGCAACAAACCCACTGTGACGCGTTACTCATCCAATTACGTCATGGCATCGAGGAACTCGAGTACTACGATCAGCTGCTACTAAGTCAGCAACTAAGCGAACAGACATCCAGACGGCGCGTGCGACGAGGCCTTATCAACGGTGTCGGATATCTAGCTAATAGCCTGTTTGGAGTGCTAGACGAAAGATTTGCCGATCAATACAAGAAAGACATTCGTTTATTACAAGAAAATCAAAAACACATCGTAAATCTCTTTAAAAATCAAACATCAATAGCAGAGTCGGAAAACAACCTTTTAAAACGCATGGAGAGCACTATGAATCAACAGTACAAAGTAATAAACCAACATATGATTACTTTGGATAACGCAATAGAAACGCTGAAGAATAAGGTACAAATAAATAACATCATTAATGATTTCACAATTGGGTCGATAATGGCAAACAACTTGCTCGGCAACTTAAAAAACCTACAAAATACACTACTGGATACAATTACAGATATTCATCAAGGACGTTTCAATGTACATTTGTTGACACCAGACCAGTTAATTGAAGAATTGAGCACTATATCAAGTATATTACCAAAAGATGTTTTATTGCCGATTGATAACATACACTCTGATTTAAGCAAGTTATACAATTTAATCAAGATAAAGACAAGGATGCTGCAAGAATATCTACTTTTTGAAATCAAGATACCACTAATAAGTAGAGAAGTTTATGAAATTTTAAGAATAGTTCCTGTACCGCAATATAATGAAAACAAGGTTATTACGTTATCACCAGTATCAAATTACGTAGCTATGAACATCAAGAAAGATAATTTTATATCAATGAGCGAAATGGATGTAAAAGCATGCTACGTTCAGTCGGAAACATATTATTGTCACAGCCAAAAACCTGAATATCGGATGAAAGATGACAGCAGTTTATGCGAAATGAAAAATAAAGAATGCAAAACAAGTGTAAGTTTATGTAAAGAAAAATGGCAAGAAAGTTTTATTGTAAATAGTTACATATACACCTGCTGCGCGCAATGTCACGTGCGAGTAATGTGTGGGGATCAAATTACGGCGCATCAGCTGGCGGGAGCAGGGCTTCTAAGTATAAATCATGGGTGTATAATCAAGACGGAAGAGTTTACGATATATCCTCACAAACTTCATACAAGCGAAGTACGAGTATCACCGGATTTATACACCCCGACAATAGCACCAATCAACCACATAATTAATATCAGCATCCCTTCATATAAACTGACAAACAAATCGCATGAAGAATTTAAAGAAGCATTATCATCCATAGAAAGCAAGATAGAAGAAACGAAAGCCAATGAGATTCTGCCAGATACAGTATCATCTCATGATATCCATCATTATGTGATGATTTATGTTATATTGGGAATAATTGTGGTGATCGGTATGGCAGTTTTGGTACGGCGCTTTTCATACAGATGGTGCTGTACTCTGCGAGAACAGAATGGCAATACAGTTCAAGGAAGAGAACATGCAGCTCCGGCACAAGTAACGGCAGCAGCGGTGGTGGCGGCGGAGGGAACACGGCGTGAGCGGCGAACAAGTTACCGAGACGCACCAGCCCCCACGGCGCGCACTTTCAGTACCAGGAACAAATCGACAAGTCCCGTGTTGCGGAAATATCACGACATGTTTAATTCTGAACTTGCCTAATTGTTAAAAATATTTTTTTGTGTTTTTTATTAATTTAACATCTCTTTTTATCTTGTTTCATCTCTGGCCCGGGAATATGTACGGTTAATACCGCACATTAAGTATGTTACCGCGTCAGCATTTTTATATTTTTATGTTTTTATATTTAGTTATAATTTCTGCACATTTGCAATCAAGGCATTGTCATAAGCAAGCGCGTGTTTTATTTTGTAATCAAGTAAACGAAATAAATACCATTTTTAAGATCAACAAGGATTCTTTATTTATCAACATTATTATCAAGATAGTTTGTGTAGCAAGAACAAGACGCGAACACTATTAATAGAATACTAATTACACGTGTTCATTAGGTATTTATATTAATATAATGTTATGTTTTTCATTAATTCTTTAACTAGAATAATATAGAAGATTTATTTAAAAAATATATTAAAAGCACTTAAAATGTTATATTTTCGAAAGGTACTTTTAAATAAATTAACCAAGGTTCTTATTTGAAATTGCATGTCCAAGGTTACCTAGTTAATAATTAGGCATATTCACTACATAATATTTATCGGCAATATAAATTGAAAATTTGTCTATTTCTACTAGTCTAGTTTTTCTATTTGTCTACTAGGTCACGCCTAGTAGACAAGCGTTCTTGACCGAAAAGACAACTTATGGCGTCTCATTATATTAACATACTAAATCTGTATTATATATTACTCTGCACTAAATTAATGAAGGAAACAATAACTGAATGAGTCTCAGACATAAGTTTTTTTTACTTCGTTTCATCTTCCGGAAAACGAAAGAAACTCATCTCTTTACAGCCGTATACAACACAATTCACGACCAATATAAATAGTAACGTAAATGATGTTATATATTAACGTTCAAGTTTTGCCAGCCTCGTTGTCGTTCAGTCAATGTGACCGTCAATGCGAGGCGTGGTGCGGTATCTAAAACTAGGGAGAAGCGGAGAGTGTCCACTCTCGTTACTTTTTGTTCTTTGTCCACTTGGATACATTTTATTGTATACGTAATATCATAGACCAATAATCATTCAAGATAACTGCTAATCTATATATTACAGGTCATAACTCTGAAAAAGGACAAAATCTCGTCTTACAACGAAATGGCGCCATCTAGATACTTATATCGATTCTATTAATATTGACCATGAGCTAAAATTATTTTCTGAACTTTGACAAATATGCGTATCCAAAGATGACATTGTGTGTTACAAACTAATTTATAAATTACCGCTTGCTAATATGGATAGATGGCACTAATACTAAACAAAATAAAATAATAGCCGACAGTATCCATAAAAATCTGTGAAATAAGCGCTATCTATTTGATTTGTTTGTTATCACTAGAAATTAGAGTAGCTTTGATAAATTAATAGCCTTGATAATTTGCAGCTCGCCAATGTAAAACAATAGTTACTAAAGTGGCTATATGGTACTCTTCGCCACATCTAGAGTACCAATAGGTACTAGATACCCGACAACGCTTTCTTGTATCGCGTTTAGCATTCCTTTTGAGTTATTGATACTTACATGATAATATGCAATACTTACTTACAGTTTACAAACAAATTATATTCACCTGTTCACTTCAATTTCAGAAATAAAACAAAACAATCCACTGAGCCAGAGCCGAAGTCAGATGTTGGACTATTCACGCAAAGTACAGAAGACAACAAATTACCATCTGATGAAAGTTTTCAGAACTACACCACTAGCTTAGATTTCTCTACAAACCTTTTCGATACGGACAGAATGCCCAATTTGGATATATCTGGCAGTTCTAAATCGGAAGATTTTAATCCTTATATCGGATTTAAAGACGACATTAACTTGGCTAATGATGAAAGACTGGATTCGACGTTATTTTCGTATGATGATTCGAATAAGTCTTTAGCCGTGGTAGGTCACAAATATTATGTATATAAAAAAAATCTAGTTGAATATATCTTCTTTAGGGTGAAACATTTTGCGCCGAATTTCTTTAAGCGCACAATATTTACCAGAGATTTTTATGATCAATTCAATGGTCCGCGTCTCTTTTTTCACATAAATGTGTAATTTGTCAGAATGGGTGACTAACAGGTAACGGTACGCCTCTTTTTTTAAATCACAAATATTTAGTATTTGTATTACACCTGAACAACCTAAATGAGTGATTAGTTAGTCTGCAGAGTTGGAATGCAATGATCTGTTTGATATGAAAGTGTCCATGACACAATGACACAATGAACAACTTGAACCAGAAACAATATTGTAAAGACAGTTCTATTTGTAACAACACTCACGAGTCCACCTGACTGATTTTCTGTGACAGGCATTTTTTGTTTTTGGAGATTCGATCCTGAGAACTTGAAAAATGGTTTATTAATATGTAGGGTACTGATGATGTTCAAATCAGCTGAAATGTTTGTTTCAGAGCAATCCAAAGAATGATGAGCACATTTTTTGTCCTTATTGTAATGAAGGTATGATAAAAAGTAAGAAACGACAACATATTTTGAGGTGAGTGTTTACTATTTCGTGACTAAGTTAATTATGAATGATATGCATATAATTTATGAAATCTGAATACCTACATTCTCGTAGCAAACACAATCACAAGATTATATAAATCCAACTCCTAAGACTAGCCTTTTATCTAGTTCAGGGGTTGGAAACTCAGCTTAAATATTATAAGTAAATAATAGTACAAACCTTCAAATTTTTTTTAACTCATAGTATAACCTGTTCATATTCAGGGTGACAGGTTGAACGCAATAAATATTTAAAGAAGTAAAAGAGTAGCTGATATCTAATCTGAATATTAAAAAAATCGCCCCTAAACAAAAAAAATTCGAAAAAATATCGTGCCATTTTACAAATACTAAACTAGACATGCCGCCGCGGGTTTTCCCCCGCGCCGCCGCCGCCGCCGCCGCCGCCGCCGCCGCCGCCGACAAATGCATTCGGCGCGCCCCGTTCAGTTCAGTCTTCCCTGTGAGTATAGTGTTCTGTGGTTCAGTCCGAGCAAGCGCTCCGACGTGCACGCTTTCTTGTTTTGTATGATAGTGGAAATCTCGACACCAGAAATTGACATTTCTAAGATAAAGCTTAGTGATTTTATATTCTAAGATGTATTGCTTAAAATATTAATATGTCAATTTCTGACGTCGCCATTTTCACTACGCAAACACACACAATACGGAACCGAGCGCATGCGTACGATCTGAGCGCCTGATGGAACTGATAAAAATTTGATTAATAAAGAAAATCCTTTATTTTATTTTTTCCTTTGAAAAAGTATTTGTACAACGGCTTTTGTAAAAACAAACACCGCTACACAAATTCGTTTCATGTCGCTCTCACGCCGCCGCCGGCTGGTCTATTATCGGCGTTCGTATCTAATACTAACACACCCTTCATTTGGGCTACTCTATGAAACAAAACAGCTGAGCGGTAGGAAATTGAACTCCCGCGTGTCAAGCCTTCCTACTTAAATAGTACTATTAAAATTCCATTTTCCATTCATACCTTGCTTAGGAGAGACAAAATTGAGTCGGACGTTGGATGGACCACGCCAACTAAGGAACGTTTCTCGGTACAGGATCTTATCACGACTAATAACATCATTTGCACAACATACTCGTACCATAACGTAACACCGCATCATGTGCCTAGTAAGCTATCGTTATGAACGTCACTGCACTCCACTAAACTACACAGGCTACACAGGTGAATACACCGTTACACCACGCAAAACAAATACACGATTGCGTCACGTCCCGTCTAACACAAAAGCGCAAGCGAACCCTATTATGTCTGTCTAATTTTTGAAGCGAACTAACCGGGCGGTAGCGGGTGGCCCGCGCTTCAACGAGCGAGAACGGGCGGGGTTGCGAAACCCGTTGGAAAGCGTGCGCAGAGGCCGGTAAGGGTAGCGGATACTCGCTGCATGTTCGATCTTGCGCAGAGTATTACAAAATGTTAAGAGGCAGTATTTTTACCTTTGAGATAAATATTTAAAAATAAGGTAGGGTTTTTTTTACATATTCGGTATGGGTATCAGGTACTCAATCGTCTTTTAAATATTTATCTCGTTCAACCTGTCACCTTGTGTACAAAATGAATAAATATTACTGTTATTTCTTTCAGAGATTGTCCAAAGAGGCGATTCTATTGCGAGTGTGGACAGATATTTCATAAAAAGGACGGCTTAGCTACGCATATACACAGTGAACATATTAATCCAAAAATCACTGCAACAACGATGGTCACAGTAGAGGTATAGTGGTGTCAATGTCAATTCCGTTTCTCTCAAATGTAAATCGATGAAGTAATTCACACTTCGAGTTAATTGACACAAATTCACAAATCCATAGTAATTTGCCTGTACAAAAATTTTATTAATCTAAAATAAATTTTTCGCATTTTTTGTTTATGGCTCTCAATTTCCATTCAAAATTTTTATTTTATTTTGTTTCATTCCATTATATTCATTACCTTGCAATGCCCTATCAAGGCTACACTTTAGTCGTATAACACCTGACTATGTACATATGACAATAAATAAACACAATACCTTAAACTAATTTCTTGGTTCCAAATATGTTGTCCCCTTAATAAAAGAGTGGAAGAGATAAAAAAAATTAAATAAGGTAGTTGTAATCAATTATTTTTGTTATTATAGTTCAAATAGGGTGATTTGCTATTTCCACGTGGCTACATTGAGGCAACAGTTACTGGTTCGAATCCAGTTGAATTGATGGAATTTTTCTTTGTTTGTTCAGTCTACGCGCTACGTAGCAATAATAATAGCAAACCAGTTGAGGATTTTCACGAAAAATACAAGAAAATTATGGTTGTACGTGTGGCGCACTATAAGTTTCCGGAATGAATAAGAAAAATTGTATGTAATGTAATTTGTATGTATATATTAATTTGTTGTTTCTCAAAATATTTTCCGTTAGCGTTAATATGCACTTTTTCATACGAATGAACTAATTTTGAAACCATTTATGCCACTTCTCAGTGACAATCTCTGAAATACATTTTTCATACTCTTCGACAGCCTCTTCAGGTGATGAAAATCGTTGACCGCAGCAACTGGTTCTTAATTTTTGGAAATAACGTCAACGTTGTACACCTTAAAAAAATCATTTGCCTGTCTGGCCGTGTGAGAACTGGCATTATGGTGGTGCAAGATGATACGGCGTTTACGGTTATTTTTACGGCGTTTGTCAATAACTTCCGGCAAACAAATGTTCGTGTACCAATCACTATTCAGGGTACAACGATTCTCCAAAGCAACAGTAGCCACGTGTCCAGTTTTATTAAAACAAGAAGAAATCATCCGCTTAGAGCCACTTTGCACACGCGCCACTTTGATTGGTTTCGGCTCATCGCGAAAGGCCCGTATGGGCTCGATTCCTGCTTTTTTTTTTGTTTAGGGATCGTAACTATAAATCCATGTTTCATCACCTATTACTATGTCCCACACCAAATTTGTCGTTCCTTCATTGAATCTGGTAAGCATGGCAGTGCACCAAGTGACGCGATCCGTTTTTTGAGCCTCAGTCAAATTGTGTGGGATCCGCCGAGAGCACAGCTTTTTCACACCCAAATATTTGTGTAGTATTGATTTTATTTGACTCATGCCTATGCCTAAAGATGCCCGAATCTCATGGTATGTCACATGCCTATCTGTTTTTGATCATACAGCACACAGCATCGATGTTTTTGTTGTTCACAGCAGTGGACGGGCGACCATCACGAAATTCGTCACTGAGATTCACACGACCGCGTTTGAATTCTACAAAGCAGTTATACATAGTCGTGTTGCATGGTGCTTCATTGCCAAAAGAAGTTTGAAGCCGAGCGAAGCTCCGCTGAGCTGTGTTTAATTATACTTAAAATCGAAAAAAAATCATACTACGAAAATTTTGACGAGTTAAATTCATGGTGATGTAGACAAGCAATTTCTAAAATGACGCCACAATGTAAAAACAAGTGGCAGTCAGATGAAACAAACTGTATTTTACAGCTAAAGAGTTCCATTTTCAAATGTTGTAATTACTTTTTAAATATTGTTTATGTAAGTGTCCAGTTCCGGAAAGTAATAGTGCGCCCTATGTGATCTTCAAAAAAATAACATAATACTATCTCAGTCAACCGTGACCGTGAGATCTGTAGAGAGCCCGAAACATTGGTTTGTATAAAAAAAAAACAAATACACGCCATGGTTCGAGCAATGCTACGATGCAGCACGGACGTAGGTTCCAGTCCCACCGGGTCGACGAAAAAAATTTTGTGTATTCGATCTTTGTATTCATAATCATAACAAATATACGCGATTTACCTGAATCCAGAAAAATAATTTCATTTCCATATTCTATTTTTAGTGTGTTGATAATATGTAATGTTGCAGTCTGTGAAAAACGAAAAACCTAATGATGACGCGCCGTATACGTGTGAAGAATGCGACTGTAGGTTTAAGGTCAGTACACTTTATATTTTACTTGCTAGGTTGTATTGTTAAAATAGGAACAATTTGTATTACAGCATTATGTATCGCTCCCGCTATGCCCGTCCGATAATCCATTATTACACTTTTAGATACGGTGTAGAAATAAATCCTTATGGTGCTTTTACACTAGGACGACAGGTCGCCGTCGCTTGTCCGCTGAAGGCGGCAACCCACCAAATGTAAACACTGTCGTTTATCGATTGTAGTTCGCTGTCAAAGTCGACCGAGTCGACTAGGTGTAATCACCAATGGTCGGACTAGGGTGTTCCATATGAGTATATAAATGATAAGAAGTGACACAAAGTGGTTAAAACCAAATAATAAAAAAGTTAAAACTACTAACCTGGGAAGCTGAAGTTGCATTTTGAACTAGTTATAGTTTCCATGTAAAAAATGCAGTAGGTAACTAACCTTTCACCAAAGTACACATTTAATCTAATAAGCTACAAACAATGGTTGTTTGAACTATTGCGGAAATTGTACATACTTTTGTTATCGTACAGTGCAGTGAAACTATTTCCGAAAATCCGGAATTCGAAAAGTAATCAATTAATATTTGGTGGTTTTAACCACTCTATGTGACTCCTTGTATCTACATGTATGTAGACTTTTATGTACTCATTTGGAACACTGTATTCCGCCCATTGGTAATTCCTGTCAGGGAACTCGTCGTCGACTAGACAACTTTAATGCGTCGGCGGGCTTCTGCGTCCCCGCTCGCTGGGGGCCGGAGAATATCTACCCGATCAGTTTGTTTACCGTTTCGAAAGATTTTTTGTGTCTCTGTGCGTAAATTTGTAATTAAATATATAAAAATGATTGTGTGATTTCGGCGACGGCAGTCCACTCGGCGTAAACAGTGCGCCGAATGCGCTGCCTTGCAAAGAATTCGCTTACTAAAGTCGCGGCAGTCGACGAAGTCTAGCGAACTTGGCAGTCGACCCTGTGTAAACACCCCAGTACTTTTTTGACTTGTGACAAATTGGTGCTGCCGAGAATTAACTTCGTCTCTGTCAATGAGGGCGGGCCTTCAAATACTCTGCTTTTTAATACAGCGTCGAGGCATGTTAGTGAATCATCTGTGGCGCACTCACCAGCGCCAGCCGAAGGGGGTGCCTGTAAAGAAAAGGGTGCTTCACTACCCTTGCGGCATCTGCCCTAAAATCTACCGTGCGGCTGCTAAGCGCGACCATCATGTAAACAAACATCATCCCGGTAAGCACTAACTGTAAACATGAAAATGAGTAAAAAGTTGTGAAATGTCTATTTATAATCAAATATTTTCGCATTATCTGTCAAACTATGCCTATAGGTTCCAAACCCTTAGCTCACCGCCCACTTTGACCAGATAAAAACATTTCAACGCGCACCACCACTAAATAATAATTGAAAACACATATTTTTTGTATTAACACCAAAAATCACAAGGAAAAAAATATTGTAGTGTACATCTTTAAATAATTCAGGTTTTTTCTCAAATGCGGTAGCACGCCCTGGACAGCATCAACGCCCCTCAACTGCTTCCGAGGCCCCCACCGCCCCTAGGACTCTTCGGCGCTAACTGAGGGGCGGTAGGGACCACTTTAGGAAACAATGCTTTAAGATCTATTCAGATATAGGTATGCGATATTCGCTACCGCTGTGGGTAATGAAATCCGAGTGGGTTTGCGATATTCCTACCGTTCAAACTTAAGCGGATATAGCTACCGCTGTGCGTAGCGACATTCTTTTGAATTCCACCGGTCTAGACATTTACTTCTGTGCCGTCAGTGAATAAGACCACACTATAACCATAGTAGAATTTTCTTATGCTATAACCGTGCGTGACATGTAGTCTCAATAAATTTATCATTTGACTGTTTCGACGACGTCACGATCATCACATGAGTCCTTCCATTGTGTCAACTAACTACACGTCACTGACTTGCGGGTCTACCACACCGTCCTGCAAGACCAATGTCGCAAAGCAAGCGACAAGATACCGCCGACCAAGGCGATTTGGTGATGTATCTGTTTATTCCTGTTAAGTCCGGAACATTATACAAAATCTCGACCGGGTACGGCGCGGTATTTTTCGCTACCGCCAGAGGCAGCGAATATCGCTTATATTTAGTAGCAGTAGAGCTCCTTGTGACAGAGTTCGACCAGGGAAGTACTGCCTAAAGTTCTGAGTGGCACTGCAACTGTTAAGGACAGGCGTGTAGCTACCATCAGGCGCACGACTTGTTCGTCCCGTTAAATGGTATTACAAAAAAATAAAATAAACACGCCATCAGTTAGTGGTTTACAGTTCAGCAAAGTTTTAACCGCTTGACTTGACAAGTGATTCCCATCAAAATGATATTGTAGCAAACTGTCAGGCTTTGTAATGGGATTCTGGTTTCTGTATTAATGAAGAGATCGTAAAACTTACGCCGCTCTCAAAATATTCTCAAATAGTCATTATTCGATAGGATTTATCTACGTAATGTATTGGATGATTATGAATACATAGATCGAACACACAGACACATTTTCATCGACCCTATGAGACTTGAACCTACGTCCATGCCGCACCGTGGCATTGCTCTAACCATCTGAACCACGGGTCCAGTTACCGAGTCGTGAAAATTCTCCTGTGTTTTTGTTATAGATATTTGTACTGAATTGTACTGAATGATTTTTTAATAAACTTCTCACCGCAACCTAAATTTTTCTGTGTGTTCAATCTTTGCATTCATAATCATATCAAAACTAGTGGAGTTATTTCACAAAAAAATCTGAATAAGTAAAGTATTGGAGTTTGACTGTGTTCACACTACTATATGGGATTACAGCGCCTGTATTCTGAATGTTTAGTTTAGTTAGACTTTATAGCATTCGAATTAACAATGGTCTCGTACAGATTCCCAGTTCTTCCGCGCAAAGCCCGTAGAGGGTGAACAGCGGACTCACGAGCCAGCTTACTGCATGTCTTGTCACCGTCAGTACTCGACCCGCGCTAAACTACTGCAGCATATTAGGGCTCGGCATCCACACTTGGTGAGTTTAACTCCGATTTTGCTATAGCTGTAAGGGTGTACGCAAATAGACGGAATTTGAATTGCCATTTCTGTTTGGGATACAGACCGTATTGTTAATAAATTTTTCAGATACGCAATCTGTTACCGAGTTACCTAAATTGTAATCTGAATAACCGATTCTATTACAAATAAGAATTCTAGAATACATTTTGCGTACATTAACAAAGTAGAAAACCCCCTTGTTGAATGTATTATGATCTTATAGTTTCGATGGCATAGGTACACTATAGTAACGCTTGCCATAGTGGTGAAAGGATTTGGATGCGCCAAACGTACACGTACCGGTAAGGAATGGCACGTCGTGCGGCTAGGCTTCTTTCGTGCACAACAGTGTATTGTGATTATATGATATTATACATATTATATTAATTTTTCCACACAACGCCAGAAACCTAGAAAGAAAAAAACAAATTACGATCTCTAGGTTTACTAGTAGAGCTCCTTGTGAAAGAGTTCGTCCAGAGATGGACTGCCACCTTACCTATTTCTGCCGCCAAGCAGTAATGTCAGCATTACTGTGTTCCGATTTTGAAGGGTTAAAGGTGCCCGCGAAATTACAGGCACGTGGGACTTGTTAAGTTATATCTCAGGGTGACGGGCGCAGAGGTAGTGTCCCTCAGATCTTTGCGATTTAAAGCTCCGAGTGGCACTGCAACTGTTATGGACAAGCGTGTAGCTTACCATCAGGCGCACGACTAGTTCGTCCCATCACTTGATATTATAAAAAAAAAAGGTTTTATCAATCATAATGCGATTTTTAACTGTGTGTTAACTGTATGTTTTTACTGAATTTTTATTTCTTTCTTGTGTTTACATATCCTTTGATGTTGATGATGATGTTGAGTTTGTAACGCGTAATTTTGTTTTCCATACCAAAAGGAAGGTACCATTTTACTTGCATTGGGTGTTTGTATGGAAAAAATATTAATAAAATATTTTGTTACAGGCTTCCCCTATTCAAACAAAGAAGAAAGCCAAACCAGCGTCTACTGAAGTGAAATAAGTTTTTCCCTAGCCTATGTGCATAGGTAAAAATTAATGCAACCTAAAGCCGGGTACTCATTAGTGAGTTGTAAGGGCGCGTTCCCACTATGTCGTCATGTTTTATTATCGTTGGACGACTGTCGTGTGGTAGTCTGTTCCCATATCACGACTATCTGTCGTGGACGATTTTTTATCGTTGAACGACTGTCGTGACTAGCTGTTCCCATTAGATCCTGACGACAATTTATCGTTTCACGACAGCCTCCTTGTCGTTTGCACGACAGAATCGTTTGATGCACTGCAGTCGCTTGTATGTTCTTTTGGAAGCCGGTAGTGTGTGTTAGCTCGAAATGGATGAAGACGGAATTTTAATAATGTATTACTTTTTCAAAATGCGGAAGAAGAAGCAAACAAATAAAAGAAAGTTTTGGGTACATCCAATGTTACTACAAAGAATTCCATTTGGGTTATGTCAAACGGTATACGAAGTTGCTTTCTTTTCGGTGTTGTCAAATCCGCTACGACCAGAGATGGGCAGTGGGTTAAAACCCAATCAACCCGCCCGTGTTTTCACCAGGGTTTTACCCGAAGGGCCGAGTTTTAACCCATTTCTGACCAAAATAGTGGGCAGAAACGAAGAATACAGAATTTGGTATAATTCCAACACTAACATAATATACAATAACTTGTAACAAATTTCTATATTTTTATTACATGAAGAAGAGGCATCTCCACATAATACGCACCACCTGTCAATCCCGTGGATTCTCAATGAAGATCGATTCAAGTGCATACGATCTAACGATTTTTTGTACCAATTTATTGATGAACTTTTCAAGCGAATCTATTCAATAGAAAGGTAAATCGAACTATCCTGATAATAAAGCAACAAATATTTTGTAATAATATGTATAATTAAATTTGAACAAAACTCAATTCACAACAAATATTTAGACGTAAATAGTTTTTGCCCTCGATTTCAGGTTTTAACCCGATTTAAACCCAGCGGTAACAACCCGGGCGCTTGCCCATCATAACTACGACCCAACGCTACTGCAAAGCGAGCAGAGGGCGCGGGGTACGAGAGGGGAGGGCAGGGAGCAGAATACGTGGGGACAGCGACAAATAAAACGTGACGACAATAATTACGAGCTGCGACAATCAGTCGTCACTTTTTTATCGTGACGTTTTTTTATCGTCCGGCGACTGTCGTTCTAGTTGTTCCCACTGTGACGACAGTTTGTCGTTGTAACGATAAAAAATCGTGAACGACATTTAATCGTGTCGTGCTATGTGTGAAC